ATTCTGATGCAAGTATCTTACATGTAACCGACTAGTACAATAGAACATTAGAATTAATGTTACGTGCATTCAATTTGATTCTTGTGCAAAATGTATGCATATTCAAACAATGCAGTACATAGAATCAATATAAATGAGGTGTAAATCTCAATTAAACCTTACGACACAGAAATAATCTGAGCCAAAGAATTGTTTTATCGATATCGTTATTGGCAAATGCAAGCTGATTTGACTATTAAAGTACATATTATAAAGGCGATACAAAACTATAAATGACATAAGATAACGATTTGATTTTTACAATTGGAAAATAAAATAGTAGATGAAGAACAATCTTTTTTTTATTCACTTCTATATTTACAAACCTCCAGTTGAGAAAATTTAGTAAATTTGTGGAATTTACAATTGTCATTGTATACTATAGTGATATGTTGGAAAAACAAGCCAATAGTTGATTTTACATTCGTTATAAATAATAATAACAATATTTATATCATTAAAAAACAATCATAATCATTGTTTTTTTACTTCTGTTATTCTACACATTCATATTTTGAATTCATATTTTTCTACAAATTATTGTAAAATTATGTAATTATAAATGTATTTGTATTCAGGTTTAGTAATTTTAATCATATAAAATGTATTTATTATACTCTATTTTTGAATATGTATATGTGACCTATCATAATAATACTTTTTAAGCAAAAACTGATATATTCTTTAAAATTCATTTCTTTATACATTTAATAACAAAAGCTCTGAATTTTTTAATACTTTTCAAAAGAAAAATTATATTTATTTTTTTTAAAAGGGCAAAAGATCTAAATTACATCATATCCACAAATGTATAAATTGTAACACCTAACACTGAACATGGCAGATATTCGAAATTTATAAAAAAATACCATTTGTTTACGCACCATTCTATATTTTTATCACAATTAAGAGTTTGTCATGGCAATTTTTTCTATGGGAATTCTAATTCATATTCATATCATTGAGTTGTGCTTTTATAAACCGTTATTAATAGAAAATGATAAAAATAGCAAAACTAATGTATTAATTTTTTGAAAATTATCTGTCAAATAAACCATTAAAACTATGATATTTATACGTTTATAAAACAGTGTACTTTCTCTCATCTTGTTTGGTAATAAATCCCGATTGCAGGATATAACGTAATGTCCTATCCCAGAAGCAATACTTACAGGATTAGAAAACATGTTTTTGTCCAAATACCTTTGACATTATAGAAAAATTAATTAAAAGAATTTATTGCAGGTATCAAATAAAATGATTTATATTTAAATCTTATATTTATGAAAATTGAATGGTCTTATTAACGGTTCAATAAAAGTCCAATTCTATTGTAGTGATTATTTGTAGTAAATCAAACATTCTCTTCTATTTTCTATTATCCAATCAGAATGTAAACATAATTTTAGCTAATTTATTGCTTAATAAATCGATCTCATTTATATAAGTACAATAACTCATAATAATAAATAGAGAATCAGTTTAATATTTTATAAAGGATTATCTTCAATTAGGAATAGTTTATTCTTGCATAAGTATTGTGCATTGTTAAACCCTGCTTCAAACCAGTTATTTAATTCATTCTTTTGTATACAAATTTTATATAAAATTGCACAAATTATATATTTACAGAATTTTACTGTCTTATATTCATTGATATTTTTGAAGCCCTTAATCATGTTCTTGATAAATGAAATAATATTAAGTGTTAAAAATTTGTAGAAAAAAATAGTAGGAATTGCAGCAATTTGAATAAATTTGGCTGACATTTTTAGCTGTTTTTTTGTAGTAAACAATGAACATATGAACATTCATATGTTCTATTCAAAACGCCTATGTATATAGGTAATATTTATAAGAATCTCTGAGCAAATATTCACTTTCAAGTTCTTTAAGCCACCTCAATGCCCTTTGATAATTTCAATTTACGTAATCCCACATATTGATATATTATTTAATAGGTGAACAAGAAGTAATATTTTGACTCTAACTATCATTATAATTTATAAAACAAACAAGCTAATAGTTTATCAATGATTACTAGTACTATTACTAATATTATATTTTACTATAGTGTTTTTTTTTAATACAGAGAACTATATTGAGATAAGTTATACAGGTAAAAATTTAATTCGATACAAAATGTTGTATAGATCTTGAAATTTTAAATAAAATTAATTGTAATCCAGATGTATGCAATTAACAATATCAGGTTTAAAATTTATTTAGATAATAAAAATGATATATAATATAGTTTTTTTCATAAACTTAAAAATTTGTTCTTGATACTTTATTTTATTCACATTAATCTGAACTAAAATTTACTGCAAATATTCTCTTGGTTAGCAATAATTTTTTTAGGATAATTCTTCAAATTTCTTTATATATAAAATTAACTTAACTTTAAAATTTCGTTTTGGATGCTCTCTTTTATTTACGTTAATAAATTTTGGTTAAAATTTATGATAAGTTGAAGTTCATTGTTATACCTACAAAAATATTAAAACTAATTTTAACGCTGTCAATTGTAAAAGGTTAATTATAAATATATGGCTTTAGATATTTCTGCAGGTTTCTCAATATAACTAAACTAACGTCTTAAACACTTACATTACATTAGTAGCTTGTTTACATTAGTAAAAAATTAAAAACTATACTTTATATGAATAACTATATGAACTATACTTTAATTTTTACTATTGTACTTATTTGAAAATTGAAAATTTAAACAATTGTACTTAATAAATGTTGGGCAAAAATTAAGTTGACCAGTAAGAACTTTCTTGTAGCGCATAATTGTAAATGTAGTTACTGTAAATAGAAATATTGAGTAAGATGTTTAAAATGTTCTTGATCATCTATATAAGACACTAAATCGATTGTTCATAAAAAATCTAAGAACTAATACTACAAAAAAAGAAGTGCAGAGAAAAATGTAGTTTTACTTACAATCAGTCACAAAATAGGTCATTAGGAAGTTTTTTTCAAATGCTTCTGTTATGATTTTTTTTGTACTCTATTTTATTTAGCAATCAGAAATGCATAAGGATTCCTATAAGCTATATAAATTGACAATATTTGAGAGCGATTTCTAAGAAGAACTTTAATGAGATCTTCTTAGTTAAACATTTGATATGATAATGTTATATTGAAGATAATCTAATTATAAGACTAAGTCTAAAAGCCAATGTCGAAATTGAATTTGTTATGAATCTGTCATGAATTTGATCCAAGGACCAAGATGCTTTACTGCAAGAATGTTGAGTCAGCCTGTTTTCTTACTTCTGACAACGCTGATTATGAGTACCCCATTTCTCATGAAAATGGATAAGTTCACCTTCAATCATTCATTCACAAGCATTTATCCAATTTTATACCATATTACATAATTTCACCCATATTTTATGCAACTCCTTCAGAAGTAAACGATGGCTACCGTATGCAAAGGCGCTGGTGATTTACTCGCATTCAAACAACCGTAGGCCTTTTATCGATCACGGGCGATAAATAATAATATGTGGGTCACATTTAAATCAGGATTTATAAATGAATTCAGTTTAATATGAAATTGCATCATTCTCAGACGGTATGTACTGCGCATATATTCCGTAACCGCAAAATTTAAATTTTATGCCAACATATGTAACAACATATTTGTCAGGCTCAGGATGTTAATAATATATTATATTGTTAATTAGTAGGGTAAGTTATAGTATTGGGCCGAAAAACGAAAATGAAAATTTTTGCACATCTTCACGTTTTAGAGGTTTCTGAACATTTTAGCATACTTCAGAAAATTGTGTGTGTGTGTTTTGTATGTTCGCAAGTTCGGATGCACAGATCAACCGATTTTAATAGTTCAAAAAACATTCGATTTTTATTGATAGGGAAATGTGCTGATTAGTTTTTGGCAGAGGCAGGTCCAGCCGTTACAAAGATACGTAGCAAAAAGTGCAGAAAATAGAAATCGAGTTTTGACAGAATTCAATTCAATTTGTAATGATTGGGAGAAGTGGTGATTAGTTTTTGGCAAAGGCAGGTCCAGCCGTTTTGAAGATACAAAGCTGAATGAACATAAAATAACAGTTTTTGAGGGAACGGAGTATCCAATTTGAATTTTTCAAAAAACATTCAATTTGTAATGATTGGCAGAAGTGGTGATTAGTTTTTGGCAAAGGTGGTCCAGCTATTTGACAAAACAATTACTTTTGTTAATTTTTTTATACGATGTTACAGTATTTATAATAATCGATTTGAAAACATTTAATAATCCTCGAACATTTTGTTACGGTACGGGAAATTCCAGCAATTTGCCTTAAAGGCAAGATGCCATCACCACTAGTTTACACCTATATCGAATTGAATCACCTTTTTACGCAAATTATTCAAAAATATGTTAGATTTTTATAAAAATAAGATTCTGGGCAAGGATCACCAAATAGATCAATATCAAATTATTCATTTACTGGATATACCATTAAAATAGAATATTTAATAATTATTTATATTTTCATGCTTTTAATAATTATTTATATTTTCATAAAATGTGTTCTTCTTATGAATATCATCTATATTTTATTTTATCTTTTAAAACCCGAATATTCACATAACTACTCAAAATCCTTATTCTAATAAGTATATACTATTAGAGCGCACTTTTCTTTATTTGGTAATATGTATGTAATCTATATTATGCAAGCTAATAGAACATATTTAGATAAATTTTTTTTCATAAACTACAATATTACTTTCAAAAGGTTTCATAAATACTACCAACTATATAATAAATTAAAACAAAATCTTATGCTAATAAATCATTAATTATGTATCAGAAACAAACGAATATCATTTTGCCTTGCCAAAAATTTTAGACATGTCAGTAATAAAGTCTAAAGGCTAATACATTGATGTCATTCGGAAGATTTCTATTGATTATCTGCTGTCAATTACTATTTGTAAGGATGGGAAATGGTTAGTAAAACAACTATTTACTGTAAAGATATAGAAACAAATTTTAGTGATAAGATAATATGGCACCTAGGCTGGAATGCGATTCTTGTAGATCTAGAGAATATATTAGAGCAAGGTATAAATTTATATTTTATTGATCTGGATTGATCAATGCCACGAACTTCTTACCATAAATGAGCAATTTAAAACTGTAAATATTCATTTATATGATTTAAATAAAACTATATTACCATTATTACAGGTCAAGTAGAAACAGCTTGTTTAAATACACGACAAACCTGTAGCTATAACAATCTGCAAGATTATTTGAAATCAATTCGCGACATAAAGAATGTAAAAATTCAAAAAATTGCACGATCTCAAACTGGTCATGGTGTTTATGTCGTAAATCTTACGTCCAACGATGAAGAAGAGATGTGAGTCAAATTATTATTTTATATGCAATTAAAAATTAATCGTCAGTTTCATTAATAAAAGCTGGATAATTTTTTTTTAGTCGGCACTACAGTAATTTGACGGATACTAATACTACAAAAATAAAAAAGATCACAGTTTGGATTGATGGTGTGATAAATCCAACCGATTGGGTATCTTTGCCTGCTTGTGTATATATTTTGGAGCAGTTAATTCATCCTGGTATAGAAGATCTGGATCTTCGAAGTGGAATAGATTGGTATATTGCGCCTTTGTGCAACCCATCTGGTTATGAGTTTTCAAGAACCGTAAGTAAATCGGGAGTGTTCACTCTGTAAAAATGTACCCATGAAATTTATGCTTGAATAATATAGCTATTATTTCGTAAAGTCTCTTTAACAGTAAAAATAAGACATTTGACTTGTTTGCCCCCCTGGCCGTAAAAAGGACTAGTTGACAAATTTATGAAAAACAGTGCAATATGATAAATTAGCCGGAAATTTTACTGAACATAGTCAAATAGTTGTTTGTTTGATATATGATATTTGTTGTAATATACATAATTGTTTTGGTTTTCACTATATAATTAATTAGTCAAATTGGACCTTTGTGACCTGTTCGACTCTTTTTCTATTTACAAGTAATTACAATCTGCCTGGTAAGGCATTCATTAATTTTGGTGACAAATGTGTAGATACATGATTTTAAAATTTTACCCAGTGGTAGTCAAGTTTGAAAATTGTTGATAATAGTTGGGATGAAGATGCGTTAAAGTAATAATAAGTCTACATTACATGTTGATTTGCTGAATCTGAAGGGTTTGTTCTTTTGGGTCTTCTGGGGATGTTTGAGAAAAGCAATTTTTTGCATGTTGGTTCGGATTCAAGTCAATATTTGTACTTAGATGCATGTCTTCTGATTTTTTCTGTTATCGTAAACAGTCCTGGTGGATCAGCCAATTTGGGACATACTTGAGCACCTTGAGTATTTTTTTAAGAATTTTATTATATGATCTTTGCATAATGTTTATGTTGGTTTGAATATTCTATATATCATTTGACTTTTTTAGAAAACGCTACAGAAACGAAATATTGTTAATTTAATTAACTTACTTATACTTTTTATTAGTATTTATATGTTATAAAACATGAAGATCTAGACCCAAATATTTATTACGAATTTTTTTATTCAGTTGGTTCGCAGATGGAAAAAGAACTTCAGAAAACGCGATTGCCCATGTGTGCACTGTGGAGTTAATTTGAACAGAAACTTTGACATACATTTTTATGGTAATTTAAACTTGTCAACTTAATGATTTAAATTAAAACGATATTTATTTATTTATTTATAAGAACGGAATTATTTTGAAATGATTTTTGTAATTATCTCATTTCTTCATTGAATTTTGGATTTGGTGAAAATTGAAGTCGCTAGTATATATTAATTTGCGGCGCTTAAGTTCTAAACAATATTTTGTTTTTGCTGTTTATACAAATATTGCTGCTTATACAAATATTTAAGAATATTATCATACATTACTCATTAAATTGAAAATATTAATAATTTATAGATGGTGTTAATGACCCCTGTTCTGATAATTATCGTGGTGCTTATCCTGCTTCAGAGCCTGAAGTCAAAGGCTTGTCAGACTTTTTAGGTAAATTAGCTTTCACAAATATAGATTTATATATCAGTTTTCAAACAAACAATGATGGAAAACCACGAATTTTAATTCCATGGGCTCACACCAATAAGAAATGTCCGGAATACCGTAAACTGGTAAGTGCAGTTACATCTTGCAAAGATGTTACATCTTAGAAAATATCATTGAATTTTATAAATAGATATATATTCACATACATACAAACGTTAATAGTCAGATAACTAATCGTTCGATAATTTTCATCAATTGCAACTTTGTACGTAACGATTATCACTTGAATCAAAAGGAAGTGAACAATTATTTCTATCAACAGATAATCCACAACTTTTTAGCATTGAGTGAAAGTTAAATTTCAAATTACTAATATTTTATAAATGAATTTTATTGATTCGACATAGACATTGACAATAAATAATTTATTTTAAAAGACTTCTCGCACGTCAAGATCTTCTTTTTCCAAATGGTTAATGAATTGTTGAATTTGCGGTATTGCGTCTGGAGAAATGTACTTTTACTTTTCGTCGGATGTGAAAGAGATTTGATTTGGGATGAGCATTTTTTGCATTATCCTCACAAATATGACGTATCTTCAAATATGAATAGACTCAATAATAATAGATTTACTTTGCATCACTTATTATTATTATTTAGGTATTTTATGTGATATGTGACGTTATTTTAGCAAATAACACAAAAACTTTTTAACAAATATATAGAAATTTTAACCAATTTTAATTTAACAAATATATTAGAAAAATGAAAATGTGTATTTTTAAATACGCAATGCATTTTTTTTTTTTCAAAAATACAATAAAAAAATATTTTATTTAAAAATCGCTTACAATTATATTAATACTATTTTTCACACAATTAGAATATAATAGTATTTTTTTATTGAATTGTATTGAATAACTATATTTCAAATGAGTACATATAACGAAAATATAAAACATTTTCTAATAAAAGTTTGAAGAAATTGGTTCGGATTTTCAACATACAACTTATGAGTATTTCCACTGTTTGGTAGTAACCCTTTGGCATACGTTATATTTAAAATATTTATCTTCTTATTTGGCATACGATTTTAATAATTGCTGGAACAATGTTTAATTAATCTATCGATAAAGAGGAGTTTTAGTAGTGCAGACGTAAGAACTTAAGCCTTACAATCACGGGAAAAACTCACGTGGTTTCGAGTTTAAATCCCGCATTAAGTGCATCTGCTTTTACTTAAAAATTTAGACATAATTTATATCATTCACTATATTAGAAGTATTTAGCAAAAAATATAACTATTAGGCTGCTTTCTAATAAAGCTAGATGATAGTAAATACATCACACTCATAGAACACTGAGAATAGTTCTGTTCAATTAATAATATAAAAAAAAACTGATGTAAAATATGTTGTTCAACACATGGATAGGTTTATTTAGACTCCTAAAAATTCATTTATACTTGCAAAAATATAAATAATGCACAAATAAATTTTCGATTAATTATTGTCGTTGAAATCTTCATAACAACTAGTAAGAAAAACTCTGATTCTAAGTTTTTTAAAGAGAATTCCTGAGTAATCTAAATTAAGAAACCGATTCAGCCGTAAAATAGACTAATGTTTTTGCAAAGCTATGTTACGTAACGTTCTGCATACAAAATGGTACTAAAATCTGTTGAAAAGCTATGTTTTTGCGTTTCAGGCGTATTACATATAAAATGTAACTTTACTCATAAGTTATTACTTATTATGCCACATCACAAAAATGCACTTATGATAAGATTCTTTTGTTGGCGTTTGTGCGTTTTCTAGATTAGGAGCTTCTCTATCTAAAAAGGTCTTTCTCAAAGTAGGCGATATCGCCCCCCGGAGGGCGATTGTATTATCCAGGGGGGGGGGTAGATAAGAGGTCCCTAACTAAATTTTTTTACATGTTTACACAGTTTTAAGTAGCGTTTTATTTTCTCTTACTGGTATTTTTTTTTAAATTTAGAATGTAAGGTTACATTAAAGCACACTATAACTATATTATTAAAATTTCACAAAAAAAACGTTTTTAGAGATTTAATAGGTATATAAAATTTGGCTCTACAAAATTTTTGATTTTTAAAGGGGGTGTTGGAAGAAATAAGTTTGAGAGACGCTGATCTAAAACGCATGCTTGCACAGCAATCACATAGCCTTTTGATAGTTTTTAGTACCACTTCATATGAAAAATATTACGTAACATTGCCTTGCCATAACAGTGGTCTATTTTACGTCAGAATCGGCCCATAAGTGATATTCTACGGACTTTTTAGTTGGGATTAAAGAGAAGCAGAATACTCACACTGAATCTGAAATTTATCACATTTTTAGTATAAAATCGCCAAATGGATGTCGAAAGTCGTTCGAAAGGACTCTGGCAATCATTACTCCGTGGAGCACTCGGCGAGCAAACAATTGGCCAGTGGGACGAGTGCCGATTTTGCAAAAGCAATAGGTTCCCGATTTGTATATAGCATTCAGCTCCCAAAAGAATCCAAAGATTTATTAGAAAAGGATGCTTTCAGTCTGGTTGCTTCGGGAGTTAGAAAACTGAAAAAAATGCGAGATACTCGAAGTGCTCGATCTAAGGCTCTGAAACACCAAATACGGATCGAGAATATTACTTGTGCACTTTTGTTGGCGTTTGTCAGTATATATTTTATTTATTATAGTACGAGTTTGTGAACTGAAATTTATATATGTTAATAAATTGTGTTCGACTTCGTACGTAAGTATAATATTTTTTTTTGTTATTTCTCAAACAAACAATTCATATAGTGTTAATGACTCAGCAATCCCAATTGATTGAGTTAATAATAACTTTAATTTATTTATCATAAAAATTATTAGTTTTATATTTAGTGTCTAAATGTCTAAATTTTAGAAATCTAACAGGCTCGATCCAAATGATAATTCATGGTGTCCACTGTCAATGTATCACGTTTCATCACCAATTTTTTAAAATGCATATTTTTCTTCATTCAGCTTTCAATTCCTTGTAATATTTTTTTCATAAATAATCTGCATCTTTCTTTGATCTGGTTGCTTTTGGTTCTTTTATTTTACATTTTAGGGCAAGTGCAATTTTGATCAAAATCAATTTATTTTTTTTCCTGGTATGTATATATTTATAATCAATTAGAATATATATTATTCCTTAAGACTATATGTTGGTCTTTATGCCGTTAAAGAGTTTATCTCTAATGAGATACCTCCTTTTTTAACATTTTATTTCAGATCGTATGGTAATTTTTTTTTTCAATTTAGAGTAGGAGATTCCAGACTTAATTCATTTAATTATTTGTTTGGGTGACTTAATTTTTTGTGATATTTTTTAATTATCATTCATTTTTTATAGTATATTTTAGCAACATGAACCCATATCGGTTTTCTTGGGGCTTCAGAGTTATGACCTATAATGTTTTTATATTTCTTTCAAACTTAGTTAAGAACTTCAGAATTCTTCCTTTAAAATATTTGTATCAACACTTTTGAATTTGAAACTTCTCCAAATATTTTTTTTTCAATCTGTGTTAAGAAAATTACTATCTTTATAATCTATACACAATGGAGCATTTCCTTATGAGTAGAATTCAATTAATTGTGATAGTTATAGAAAATCACTTCTTCATATTATTTAATTTATCAAGAGATCATTTAATTTTATAAATAACTGTTTTTATAGCACATTTATAAATGCCAAAATGAACTTTCAATTACAACCAGTATTTTAACGCAATTCGAATTAATGAGTTTACCGAAATTTAAAAAATGTGCCTGAAAGTTAGATCAAATTTTTTGTGCCATCTTTATACTTTATGATAACACTATTTTTATTTTGACATTTTCATATTTTTAATCACACAGTTCCAATAGTAATAAAATATTATTTAATAGTGAGATGCGGTTATATTATTTTCGTTATATTTATATCTGATCCGGTATCATGAATAATTATGTAAGTACAACATTTATTCCTTTTCATAATAATCATTGTTAAATGTATTAAAATAATTAGTGTTTCTTTGGTTGTTTCGCCAAAAAAAACACATTTTTAAGGAAATTAATTATATTTCGTCGATAAATAATTTGATGAAATTTTAATTGATGGTGAAAGCAAGCTTGTTTATATAACATATTTAAAATGTGATTTTATTACATAAAGGAAAAAAATGTTTGGCCTTGTCCTATGTCTTATTTTTAGTATTATTTTTGATATATAGTATCATGCGTGTAATTAGATCTTAAAATAAGAAAATTAAACTAATGCTCTGATGACTTTTTTATAATTTTTGTTAATATAATTTTTAATAATTTATACTATCAAAAGGAGTTAACTAAATATGGAACTAGTATTTTAAAATTTACATTCAAATTTAAATATTCTAATATTTTCTATCATATTACAATAAGGTTGTAATTTAAACAGGGAAATTTCAGGGGCTCATTCAATAGTGGAAACTGATACCATAGTTTGGGTGTAAAATTTAAAATATAAAAATGTAAAAGTACTTGTAACAACTTATAGATATCTTTAAAAAATTCTAATAGAAATTAAAAACTGTCTCAGAATAAAGCAAGACATTCAGAAATTTTCTAATTTTGAAAAATGTGAACTAGTTAATATATTTCATACAATTTACAAATATCAGTAGAAAAAAATCTTTATTTTCCATAGACTCCACACAAACTAACGTATTTGAGAGTTTAGAAAATAATATAATATATCTATAAATTAAGTTAAAAAAAAATATTAAAAATATCACAATTAAGTAGAACTTTCCAATTACATCGATGGCAATATATTACTATTGTTAATTATCTTCCTTATTAATTGGTTTTGTTCGTTAGTAAGAAGACTGTTAATTTCCCAAGAAAGTTACGGTGATATATATATATATATATATATATATATATAAATGATTTATAGCCAATCTGTTATTAACAATACTATTATTATTTCATATAGTACATATAATATATAATGCATCATATGCATTACATAAAGTTCGTAAAACCGCATATCTAATTTTTATAGGTAACATTAAATTAGTAGGCAATTTGTGCACAGTTCTATCTTCTCCAATCAAAAAGATATTAAGAAACCATTAAAACAATATAATTATCAAGAAAAATAAGCGGTAACTCCGGTAATAAAACTGCGAAATCAAACTGTGAAAGTAACACCTCACGAAGAGGATTATGATTGTTTTTTATGTAGTAACCATATATGAAAATGTAAGTGATAATGTCATAAGATGAATGGAATCATAAATATTAATCATGAATAAGTAATAAAACACTAATTTTTGTGTTAAATAGTGGTTATCATGAAGATCGGCATCAGTTAATTATGAGAATGTTATATAACACTTATTTGGAATATTTGAAACAATTCTTACAAATTTTAATAAATATAAATTTTCGCAGTTTACCTAAGCTAATTAATATTAATAATAATAAAACGGTTCTAGGTAATAATGTAGGTTGTTTTACTATTATTAATATTAATTAGTTAGAGTAAATTGCAAAATATCATATTAATTAAACCAAGCTCTCAAGGCAAGTGTTGTGTAGAAATTTTGTTTACACTAAAATTTATAATAAGGTTAGAAAATAGTATTTGAATTTATACAAACGATAAAAAATAAAAATATGAATATGTGATATTAATATTTAATACGGCATTCCAAGGGTGCACAAAAAAGGATTCATCCAGATGCTATTATAATAAATTAATGACGGAAAAATTTACAAGGCTATGTGGTAGAGCTTTGGTCTTTCAATTAGAAGGTTCCAAGTTCGATAGAAAAATTATAGGTATTTTTTTGCGTGTAAATTGTTTTAATACCAATGTGGAACCTATTTTGTATGAAAAGGTAAAGGTGCTCATATCCTTTAATATAAAAAAGCTGAGGGAAAAACTGTACTTACTATTAGTCCAATGTTTCACTCTTGTCAATGTACCCAACAAATGCTGCTTCTCTATAATTCTGATAATATTCGATTAAATTATACCAATATTTTATATATTTATATATTATATATAACAACTAAATATCTATAATAAATATCGAATAATTTAATGATAATTCTAAACTATACTATATATAATTTGAAGAACAAATATTTGCTCAATAACCTTATGTAAAGTTTAGTTTAAAAAAAAGCAACGTTTTAGATAGAGGCTAATCTTATTGTTAGTATTAAGGTGTCTGAGAAGGCATATCATACATTCCTGAGTAGTGTAAAAAGCAACTTCTTTAAAATGTTATTAAACTATTTATTAACTTTCCGTAGGGTAAGTTATAGTAATCGAAAATGAAAATTTTTATATATCTTTACGTTGAAAAAATGGATGTATGTGTGTGCGTGTGTGTGTGTGCGGATACAAATTTCCGTCGACGATTTCGGGAACACCGATCAACCGATATAAATAATTCAAAAAACATTCGATTTGTATTGATAAGGAGACGTGCTGATTAGTTTTTGGCGAAGGCAGGTTTAGCCGTTCCGAAGATACAGGGCAAAAAGTGCCAGAAACGGTAACTCAGTTTTTAAGAGAACATTGAACAGAACAACAGAATTCAAAAAACATTTTACATGTATTGACAAGATGAAAAATTGATCAAATTTTCATGAAGGCAGGTCTAGCGGTTTCGGAGATCTAATGAAAAAAGTAAAAAAATGCCATTTGGCGGTCAAAAATGATCATTAGACATATGCCCATCAAATTATCAGATACTTTATAGAGATTTTAATAATGAGTATGTTTGCTTTCCTATGGGTTCCATACCAATGTTTATTCGTTAGACGGCGACACGGCGCTTACGCGTTTTGACATTTTGTCTCTATGCAGTTAAAGCAGTACGATTGCTTTGAAAAAAAGTTCAGAATTTCCAAAATATGTCAAAATCAAATGTCAAGACATTTTTTTTATTTTTTTTTTTTTCAAAAAAAGTAATTTTTTATCAAATTCATTGTTTCTCAAATATCTAATTTTTTCGAAGTAAAATTTTTTCAAAAATGTTTTTCGTTTTTAAAAAAATAATTATAATTGGTACGGTATTAAGGCTAGATGCCATGCGCCCCACTAGTTTCATCTTTCCTAATTCTCTAATACTTAATGGTAATTTGTTGAATAGCATAATGCTGATCTTAATAATCTATCTAAAGTGTTGAATAAATGAGGAAGTTAGTTTTATGGGCCGATTCTGCCGTAAAATAAACCATTGTTATAGCAAGGATATGTTATGATCCAGTTTTTATATAAAATGCTACTAAATACTGTCAAAATGTCATGCTGTGTGTTCAGGCGTTTTACACATGAAATGCAACTTCATTCATATGTTATCAAGCCATATCTCAAAGATCCAGTTATCATAACATCGTTTTTTTTTTACATTTGTGCGTTGTCTATATTAGGTTTTTTAACCACATTGGATTTTGACAGTTTTTAGTGCCACTTTATATAAAAACTGCCACATAACATATCTTTGCCTTTGGTCTAATTTAGGAGCAAAATCGGCCCTTTAATGTGGGACCTTTAATAAGTATATGTCTTGTGTTGAAATGATTAGATTTGGAATTTGAACTAAAATTAAATAGATTAGGAGAAAAATGCAAGGAACAGTTAAGATCCTGTG